ATTGTGACTTTTATGCAAAGATCTTAAGCATTTCTTCTTTTGTTTAATTGCCTTTTGCACATCTCCATTCCACCACCATGTTTTCTTTGTATGAAAACCATTTCATTTGCTTTCTCCCAACACCCTCATTCCCATATTTTGAATACACATAGTCATCTCATTCCATATTTTATTTGCTCCTTCATCAAACTCCCATGGTCCTTCATGCAATATTCTTTCCTTGAACTTTCTCTATGTTTCCTGCTTTAGATTCCACCATCTTATCCTTGGGTTGTGAGCCCTCTTCCTCATTAATTTATAAAATATGTTTAAAATTATAAAAAAGACATACATCATTAACTTAAATGTATTTCAATTTAAAACTCATGTCATTATTTGACAGAAAATAGATTAAAAGATTAAGTCACTCTTCAAATAATATTTTTTTTTGGGTAGATCCTAATAATTTTTTTTGGGTAAACGATAATATATTTCAATTTGATATAAGAGTTGAGCAACTCAAATTTGGAGATTAAAGAATAAAATTTAATGTAAAATAAAATAAAATTTAGGAGATAAGGCAAGAGATAAAAAAAATAAAAAAGTTAAAAAAAATTATTTTGAAAGTATAAATAGAAAAAATTTGAGAAAAAAATAAATTTTAACGTAAGAAGAAAATTTTAAGAGTAATTATAATACAAGAATTTTAGAAAATGTTAAAAAATATCAAATAAAGTTGAGTCATATTCTTGAGAAGAAATAAAGTATTGGAGAGGGATTATTTTTACTTTAATACAAGAATAAGAAATACAGCAAGATTTGTAACACGCTGATCTTCATTGATTTCAGATGGGATCTGCACAACGTTTGGGATATGTGCAACCAGTGGTTGCAATCCTTGTACATATAGTGCATTCTGACTTACCGCTAAAGTTGACGCTGAATCAAAATGCATGTCGCTGACATGAACAACATTGTAGTCAATTGCTTGTTGATTCTCGAGGTCGTGTTGATCCGCTAGAACCTCTTGTATCACCGGGTTTTGTCGTGGCTCAGGACTTGGCAATGATGGCTGTTGATAACCACTTCGGGTGTGTGCCATGATTTTCGTGGGATTTGAAAGTTCTCGAGATTCCCACAGACGGCGCAAATGTTTTATCTTGATGACAGAGATGTCTAGCCCAGGGCTAGTAGATCGATATTGAATCTTGTACTCACTCTAGGTATCTATGAATTAGATAGCTTAGGGGTAGCAAATTACCGTACACAACTATGAGGCTTTAGCAAAAAGGGTGTTGTGTGTGTACAGTGACAACATAATAGTAAAAGAGAGAGATTTGTCCATACCTGTGGTCTTTACCTCTTATTTATAGAGTTTACCTTGGGATTTGAACAGTCTGGACCCTTTACTTCATGGGCCCAATTGTCTCTTTTCATAGCTATCGAGTGTCTGCCCTTTATTGGACCTTTTGGGCATATGAGCCTTATGTAGGTCCATAACAAGGTGAATTATAAGAATGACAAGTATTAATAAATTTAATATTTTAAAGTATCTTCGGTTAACTTTTGCTTAAGAAGGTATATTGTATTAATTTGTTGCATTTTGGGGAATTATTTTCGCTAGGGGTTGTCTAAATGTTTTAAATCGAGTAATTAATATAAAAGAATGTACTTACCTAATTACGCTTAGATTTCATCTGATATTTAGTGTGTAAATTAAAGTCACTTTACATTAGAGGTGGCAAAACAAGCCGACTCGCCCTGACCCACCCCGTCATCAACTCGCAAAAAGAGGCGGGGTGGGTTGACCCAACTTTGGATTGTGGATTGAAAATATCAACCCGCCCCGTTTTAAGGGGGTTGACGGATTGGCCCGCTAAAATATTCCTTAAAAAAATAATTGAAAAAAATACTATATAAAAAATATCACAAATGATGCTCTAAGAAGAAAACAAACACAAAAATAGCCTAGGGGGTGTTTGGTAGATGATTTGTTGTGGGAAAGATGGCTAACTGAGAGTGGGTATTTAATTACACCATATTTGGTAGAAGTTTAAGGGAAAAAATACCATGCAACCATATTCCCATGCAAATAAGATTTGTGTGTAAAGTGATGCAAAAATCACTATTTGAAAATACCACCTTGGAGGTGGTATTTATAGATAACAAGGCAAGCGAAAAAATATTTGCCATGGGTCAGACGGAAATACCCCTTATCCTCATGTAAAAATTTAGCACAGAATCAAGTTTTACAAATCATATATCATTTGAATTTGGGCTACCGAGAGATGTAATTTTGGTTTTCCTTTTTCAAAACGTAAAGTTTGTAGGTGTGCAGAACAACAATTTATATTGGTGAGTATGATTCATATATTTTTACCCCCAAAAGAAAGAAAAAATCAAATACGAGCAGTACCGTGTGTGGAGTTGGATAAAGATTAAAAAGGGTTATTTTCGTATTTTCAACCATTTTTCCATCAATATTTTATTTTCAACCAAACATAGACTCAGTAAAATTAACCCAATTTTTCCGGTAATATTTTGGCTTACCAAACAACTTTTTTTTAACTTTCCTACCAAACTAATTTTTCTACCACATTCATAGTAATTGTATTTTCCTAATAAATTTTTTTTTCTCCTCTACCAAACACCCAAACTCTTCACTAAAAATCAGTGGCGGGTTTGTCACAATGGGTGTTGAAGAACCACAAGAAGAACAAGCTTTTGATGATTCTAGTTTTTCAAATGCACTGTTTTCAAACAAGGTCAATGTTTTGAGGCTTGTTGATGTTCTTCATTAGGCGGTTGCGCCACCCACTTTGTTTCAAAGTTGGATGGAAGAACATAGCTATGTCTTGAAGTTCGACTCAGTCCCATAACAGTGAAAAACCAAAGAAAGGGGAGCTCAGACAAAGTCCTCCATACACGGATCCATGCCAGATCTGACGATTAAAAAAGGGGGAGATTAAAGTCGAAGGATTGAAGAGAGTGATTGATTCGAGTCGAAGGAGAAAATGAAAATCTCCAGGTGGCGCAATTTTACCTAAGTTTTCAAAAGGAAAAATGAAAAAAAAAAAAATGAAAAAAGCAACGTAATATATACAATATTTTTTTTATAATTTAAAATTAAAAAAAATATATTAACCCACAGATTAACTTGCCTCGACCTGTCCTTAACCCGCTGACAAGTGATGTGAGTTAAAGTGGGTTAATGGGTTGATATATATAACCGAACCTGTCCCGTTTTAGTGGGTTGGCGGATTGACCCCTCGGGTTCAACCCACATTGCCACCTCTACTTTACATTATTTCAAAATTATGTATTAATTATCAATAATTATTTAAAAATTATCCTTTCAAATAATGATCATAAAATGTTGAAATGTTGTCCATTGAAAAAGATTGGATTCAAGTTCTTTTGAATGCAAGAATTTTCTTTGGGAGAGTTAATCATACCATGATATGAACGTTCCCTATTCGAACAACATTGTCTCTTATAGAGGTGTAAAAGGGTTAGACGGCTTGTCGAAGACCTACAATTTAGCCTGCCTTTAGCCCGACCCGTTTTAAAAATAGTAAGGACTTGAACTAGTTAAAAGGCTTGTGTAGAAATCAGTCCAAAAACCTATTTTAGTACGCGTGACCTCTAAGCTTATAGGCCCGACTCGTATTTTTCAATAAATAATATTTTTTTATTAAAAATAAAATAATATCTTGTTCAAGTTTATTGGACATTTGTTTATGTTTGTCTTTTATTATTTTGGTTGTTTCTCTTTATTTATCTAGTTATTTCTTATTGGGAAATTCTCATGTAAGTTGGTTAGTCGGTGGACATCTTCGACACCGAGTTTCATGATCGTTGTTCTTCTTGCATGATTTGTTTGCGTAAATTTTGAATTGTAACATATTTATCATTTAAAAAATTAATTTCCAAATATATTTATGTTTTATTAGTATAATTTGATTGACTTTCACTTGTTCGGTGATTGCCTATTTTATGTTTAAATGTAGGAAAAATATTTCTGCAGTTACTGCAGATAAATTATCTGCATTTATTTTCAAAACGACGTCGTTTTGATATTAAAATTATAAATATAAAGACTATTATAATCCTGAAATAAATTAAAATTACAAAAACACCACGATTTCTGCTCCAAAACGACGTCGTATTGGACTTACTGCAGATAACTTATATGCAGTAACTGCAGAAAAAATGAACCCTTAAATATAATGTTTTTTAAGTCTTAAAATAAATACTTTTGGGCTCACGCACGTGCGAGCGCATCCACATACATGTGCTTGCGCGTGCACGCACTCACACAGGCATGCACATACACAATCAATTCGATCAAATTGTATTTATTTTTAATTAAAAAATTAATTTTAATGTAATTTAAAATAAATTAAAAGTTTATACATGCACACGCGCACACAGACATGCACGCATATGGACACACACATACATATATATATATATATATATATATTAAAAGTAAAAATTATTTTTTTAATTAAAAATTAAGACAATTCGTTCCGACTAATTTTTTTTTTCAACAACATTTAAAATTAAATGGTTAATATTTTAGGTTGTGTTTAGCTATTGTACAAAATAATTATAATCTAAAATTTACAAAGTGCAATAATATTGTTTTAAAATGCTTGGTAGGTTTGGTATGACAGTCTAACTCTTATATTTTTCTAAAAACAAGTTAATAATTTGACTTATATCGTACTAACAAACCAAAACAGATTTAAAATAATTTATATAAACATAGCCAATTTAAGTTAAAATCTATCTTCAGTGTCTCTTTTATACCCCTGTTTGTGGAAGATACATGTTTATGAAAAAATGATTGCTATTTAAACGGTGACACTTTAGATAAGAAGGAAAAAAAAAAAAAAAAAAGTTGCTGCCTTGCACTGCGTCGTTTCATTGCAGCCGTCCCAGGTGTCTTAATTCACCAAAACCACCCATTCCTCTTTTCTAAAACCCTCTTCTCTTCTGCTTAAGGTTTCGCCACTGTCGCCTTCCACCACTTATCTGCCACCACATCACCACTTGGAAGTGTCATATGGTGTAGGTTACTCAATCTGTTAATAATTGCTCTGTTTTGTTTTCATCTTGTTCGTGGGTTCAAAATAGTTGAACATATTTTTGTTTTGGCCTTAAATAATTGGGGTGTTCTAGCATGATAAACAATTAACAGAGCCTGTGAATGTATGAGAACTATAAAAATTGTATTACTCACTTGGTTGCAGAGATACCTGATTCCAGTTTTAATTGATCACTGATTGATGAATTGGGAGCTTCCATGCTGATAAAATTCTACTTTCTATATATTTTGAATCTAAATAGAAATAAATAATTTGTGAATTGTTTTATTTGTTCGTTATAAATATGGGTTGATGTATTGCAATTATCAGATTCTTGTACAGATTATTACAACCTGGTACCTATGAAATTATCATAGTAGAATTATTGACGGCTCTAATTCTCATTCCAATTTACCAAATGAAAGTTGTGAATGTTGTACATTGGAATATTCTCATTGAAATGGTAGCACTTTAGATGTTGTTTATTGCTAGAGGGAAAAAAAATAAAAAATAAAAAATAAAAAGTAAAAATAAATGCTACATGATTAGGTGTCCTTTCATTGCTGCGTCTCATTGTCATTCATCAGCCCTCACCCTTCCCATCCCAGGTGTTTAATTCGCCAAAACCACCCATTTTTTCTAAAGCCCTCTTCTCTTCTGCATAGGGTTGAGCCACTGTTCTGGTTCCACATCCACCACTACAACACACATAATCATCTTCTGAATGTTCAACCAAAAGGGTGTGCCCTTCAATTCTCAGTACTTAACTTGCCTTCAGGTATTTTGTTCTTTCTTTTGATTGAATTGCTCAGTTGTGGTTGCTCAAAACTCGGAAAACTTAGCAAAACCTAGTCTTTAACTAGTTATCTCAGAAGGGTTTTTTTTTTTTTTTTCCTGGATGTTGTTTCAGGGTATTTTGTTCTTTCTTTTGATTGAATTGCTCAGTTGTGGTTGCTCAAAACTCGGAAAACTTAGCAAAACCTAGTCTTTAACTAGTTATCTCAGAAGGGTTTTTTTTTTTTTTTTCCTGGATGTTGTTTCAGGGTATTTTGTTCTTTCTTTTGATTGAATTGCTCAGTTGTGGTTGCTCAAAACTCGGAAAACTTAGCAAAACCTAGTCTTTAACTAGTTATCTCAGAAGGGTTTTTTTTTTTTTTATTTATTTTTTTTTTTTTATTTTTTTTTTTAAAGGGTGTTGTGTTCTTTGCTTGAGTGCTTCAACAATTCCTTTTTTGAAGGTGTGATTATTTCTGGAGAGACTTCTAGATTCTTCTGTATATAGCAAGGAAAATTTGGTTTTGTTGTACCCTTGTGGACATGGCTATAGTTGAATCAGTGGGGAAGATTCCTTTGCAAGACCCACCTGAGGAGGAGTTCTATGCTGCTGACTTGACTTGGACCAAGTTTGGCAATGCTGAGCACCATGACGAGGTTGCCCTTATTCCCTATGATCGAGTTGATGCTTTTATAATTGGTGAATGCTCTAATGTGGAGTGCCCAACTCGGTTTCATATTGAGAGAGGAAGGAAACGAACAATTGGCAGCTTGAAGGAGTACAAGGATGATGAATATATGGAGTACAGACTGTAAGTTTCAGTCTCTGCCATGCCTCTCACCTCACCCTTCATTCAAAATGATTTTGATAATGTTTTTTTTATTTTATTTCTTTTCTCTCTCTCTCTCTGTATCTCTTTCTTTCTTTCTTTTCTCTTTTGGTTATGGTGATCAAAAGATTGTTTAACTTTAATTACCATTTTCTTGCATTTTTATTTTTTATTTTTTTGAAGTTTACTTTTGGTAGAGCATCAGAACTTGGAAGTGTGAAATGAAATCATACTTCCCTTTCAGAAAATTTGTTGATCCTTGTTAAGTTCCCTAACGTTAGACATGTTCACAAGTTCAAACCTTTTTCCAGTTGCTGTATGGAATATGGAATCAACAGCAGCTTAGCAAATGAATAATTAAAAACTTAAGTGGTCATGTACACAATTAGGATCCCAATACTTAAGTTGAACTTTGTTCTTTATGAAGGTACTGGTGCTCATTCGGCCCAGAAAATTATGGGGAAGGTGGAGGTATATTACCTAGTCGAAGATATCGACTTAATACCCGAAACCGTGCTGCTAGACCTCAATCAATGCGGGGTTGTACTTGTCATTTTGTTGTCAAACGTCTTTATGCTAGCCCTTCACTTGCGCTTATTATATACAATGAAAGGCGCCACATTAACAAGTCTGGTTTTGTCTGCCATGGACCACTAGATAGAGATGCCATTGGCCCAGGTGCCAAAAAAATTCCATATATATGCAATGAAATTCAGCAGCAAACAATGTCCATGATTTATCTGGGCATTCCAGAAGAGAATATCTTGGAGAAACACATTGAAGGAATTCAGCGATATTGTGGTTCAAATGCAAAAGTCAATAGCCTTGCTTCTCAGTATGTCCACAAGCTAGGGATGATTATCAAAAGGTCTACCCATGAATTGGATCTAGATGATCAAGCCAGCATCCGCATGTGGGTTGAACGCAATAAAAAGTCTGTATTTTTTCATCAGGATAATTCTGAGTCAGATCCTTTCATCTTGGGGATCCAAACTGAATGGCAGCTACAACAAATGATTCGTTTTGGTCATCGCAGTGTCGTTGCAGCAGACTCAACCTTTGGTGTAAAGAGACTTAAAGTAATTATTTTTCAATCATGACTTTTAGGTTATGCTTGATCTAAAAGAAAAACCGTTATCTTGTTCACATTGCAATATGTTTCAATTGACTAACCTAGATATCTTTTCATATTGGCAGTATCCCTTGTTCACACTTCTTGTTTTTGATTCAAGACAACATGCACTTCCTGTGGCATGGGTCATTACACGTAGCTTTGCCAAGCCTGATATGTCTAAGTGGTTGAAAGCTTTAATTGATCGAGCTCGTAGTGTCGAGCCTGGATGGAAAGTCAGTGGATTTTTAATTGATGATGCTGCAGCTGATATTGATCTATTGAGGCAAGAATGCAAGATTTATTGCTTTAGATATGAATTTGGTTTAAAATTCTGTAGTACTGTTTAATTTTCTTACTTCTATTGATTGCGTTTACAGAGATATATTTTGCTGCCCTGTCCTATTTTCACTATGGCGTGTTCGTAGATCGTGGCTAAGGAATATTGTTAAGAAATGCAGTAACATTGAGGTTCAGCGGGAGATTTTTAAGTGTCTTGGGACAGTAGTGTACAGCATTTGGGGAGGAATTAATACATCACTTGCCTTGGAACAATTTATGCTGGATTTTGTTGACCAGACTGATTTCATGGAATATTTTAGAGCGTCCTGGTTGCCCAAGATTGGTTAGATCTTTCTCCTCTGCTCTTTTGCATGCACTTAAAAAAACTTGTTTGGATAGGGCATATTTGCATACAATACAAAATGTAATATTTTTAACATTTTGCTTCAGAAATTATGGCTTAGTCAGTTAGTTATTGATATATTAACTTGCTTTTTCTCGTTGCCGTTCCTTTGCCCTGTTGTGCAGAAATGTGGCTTTCAACAATGAGAAATTTTCCACTAGCAAGCCAGGAAGCTTCTGGAGCAGTAGAAGCCTATCATATCAAACTGAAAGCCAAACTTTTTGATGATTCACATCTTGGAGCACTGCAAAGAGTAGATTGGTTAGTTCACAAGCTAACAACTGAGTTGCATTCAAGCTATTGGCTTGACCGCTATGCTGATGAGAGTGATTCTTTCCAGAATGTGAAGGAGGAATATATTGCTTCTACATCATGGCATCGAGCACTTCAAATTCCCAACTCTGCTATTACCTTGGATGATAAAGACCACCGCTTTGCCAAAGTTGTGAGCCAGAAAGACAGCAGTGTAACACATTTAGTATGGAATCCCGGATCTGAATTTGCCTTCTGTGATTGTTCTTGGTCAATGCAAGGTAATCTCTGCCAGCATGTCATCAAAGTAAACATGATTTGTGAAAATCTTCAAGGTTGTCAACCATCCATGTCTTTTCATTCATTTGAAGAGGTTTTGATGGATTTGTGGAAAAAACCAATGGATGATTCATTTGCATTGGATCTGTCATTGGCTTGGTCCCACCAGATGCTAGATCAAATCCAAAAACTTGTTGAATTAAATAATTCTACTGATATTGGCACTGTAGTTAACAACATGCCTCTGAAATGGGTTTCTAAGAAAGATAGAACCTACATTGGCAAACCATCATCGGCAAGGTTGGCTCTTCCTTCTGGTAACAGTAACTCAAAAAGTGTTGTGCAGAAGAAGAATCGGAAACGGAAAAGATTGTCTCGATTAAGATGAGCAATTTGGTTGGTAGTTATGAAGTTTGATCTGGGATAACTCTGATCAATGCAGACTGGATTTCATTTAAAGAATTCTGTAACTTTTAAATATCTGGCTTCCTAGTTCTGTTGCCTCCTCTTATCTTTATAGTTGCAGCATCTACCAAGGAATCAGCATACATCCTATCCCGATCAAAGAACAGTTATTGCTATAATAATATGAGCATGGTTGGTAGTCAGAGATAAAATGGTGGAAACAAAAGCAATTCTGGTGCGTATGTTCTGTTCAGCTTTAATACATGGAAATACTTTTAGGTGTTGGGATGGAGTAGTGGTCAATTTTACTTAAACACTGGAAGCCATTCTTTAGCCTTTCATAATTTTTTCCTCATTTTCATACGATCATATGCCAGCATAATTATTTATTTATTTAATTTTTTACTTTGTACCATCTCCACCTTTAGAGTTTATAGTCCTTTCAAGTACTCAATTCATTGTGGAGGAAAGATCATTCCATGGATAATTTTTTTTGGCTATTATGTTCTTGTTTTTTGATTTACATGTTATGTATATATACAAATTATTGGCATATTTTACTTGAAATAAGTTGCAAGATATATGCTTAATTAATTATAATTTTGAGCTTAATTCTTTTGTTATTTACATAGGCCATCTACAGAGAAACGTAGTAGAAACCAATATTTATCAAGGAATAGCTGGCTACACTTGGAAAAGGAAACAATTTAACCATCTGGATGATATATCTAATTCTTGCTGTGAAATGTGAATAGCCCAGATGAGCTAAGCAGAGGTTATATGAAGGAAAGAGACCCCTTCCACCACAAACCCCAGTTAAATTTAAATTTTCAGTGTATCAAATAAAAATGTCGCCACCAGAGGTTATATAAATCATTTTTTTTTTGTTATATTTGCAAGAGCTATAAGTCAAGGTAGCAAGTGTTGGTATAAAATACAAAGCTCAAACAGCTTACTGCATCTTATTCTCAACTTAAAGTAGATTTAAATAATTACAGAATTAATCAACTGAATTATACATTATCAATTGTTTTACATCTAAAACATCGATTAGAAATCATCTTTTGTCTTCCTGATCAAAACTTCCTTGATTTTATTTACTTTGGAAGTAAGACAATGCCCCCCACTATCATAAGGATAATTGGCACTGTGCTTTTGAGTCTCATGAATATTCTCCACCTTAGCTGAAGGTGATAAAAAAAATTGCACTCCCCACACTCCCCCCTTGCCACAACGTTATCCTGAATAGGTTTTCACATAAAAAGATATGTATACCTGAGTCCAGGAATTAATGCTGCTTCTTGCTTGGTCGTGACATTCTCAAAACCACCAGGTTCAATTATTCGAGAAAGTGCAAGCTGAGGGCGAGCTTTGGACGCATGTCATGCAGCATTCAAATATTTTTCTCCCAAGGTAGTGGTTACCACAGTATCGTTACAGCAGTGCAAAGTTGTATAAACATAATCCCAAGGAGGAACCTATATTCTTATATGATTAGATTAGATGGCAGAGAAAATATCCAAACAAAAATTGTAACCGATTCCAAAAGAAGTAGCAGCTTTCACAGTATAGAATTTAATTAGACATATGTCCAATTAGAATCATCAAATAAATAGAAAAAAAAAAATGAAAAAGAAAAAAATCAAACCAAAAGCCAAGACCCTGAAAAATATTGATCACTCACTGATTTCTAGTTTCTCTGAATCAGCTTTTTATCAAATCATTCCAAACAATGACATGCAAATGTACTTCAACAAAGCAAGAATGTCACAAAAAATGCATTTCTGCGGTGATTATTATCACTTATCAGTCTAGAAAATAATGAAACACTAAACTTGGAAAAGACTTTGAACCAAGAAAACTCAAATTTTAACATTTTGGAGCTAAAAGCTGAAACAAGAATGATGATTCTAATTCTAAAAGGATATATCTCTTGGAATCAGGCAGAGGTTCTGCCAAATCACAGTACCAGGATTTTAATGACTACACTATAATGATGGAAAGTTGGAAACCTCAATTGCATAATTAATTAAGAAACAGATCATTCGAGTTGCTGCTTACCTTGCAACACTCTGTAGCAACAGCACCATACGTCAAAACAATGTCACCGTCTTCTTCATAACTAATAAAACCAACTTTTGTTAACCAAATTATCGAAATTATCGAATAACATTGCAAATTTCAATGCTCGTCACAGAAAGCTTAACCATGCATCAGAATATCCACAAGGGCAGCCTAGTGCTATAAAGATTCTGCTATGCACTGGGTCCTGGGAAAGTTCTGTACTAGGCAGCTTATCTTGATCTAAATTATTTTCCAGGTGCTGAGAAGCAGTTAGTTGTAATTGTTAATTATCAAGAGACAAGAGGTATTCATTGTAATCCTTGTTATATTGAACTACACAACATTGGTGCTATTATATAGCAAACCAATTGAAGAATACAAAGAGACACACTCGATGTGGGACTTCTATACTATGTACACTCGATGTGGGACTTCTATACTATGTACAGCAACACTCCCCCTCAAGCTGGAGCATATAGATCGTATGCACCAAGCTTGTTACATATCTGGTCTATTCTAGGTCCTCTCAAAGACTTAGTAAATACATCAGCTAATTGATCATTTGAGTTGACAAAACGAGTGACTATATCTCCTGAGAGAACTTTTTCCCTAAGGAAATGACAATCTATCTCAATGTGCTTAGTCCTTTCATGAAACACTGGATTTGAAGCAATATGCAAAGCAGCTTGATTATCACAAATGAGAGATGTTGGGCCAGTGTCTCCAAACTTGAGTTCCTTCAGTAGCTGTTTTAACCAGATGAGTTCACAGGTAGCTGTGGCCATGGAGCGATATTCTGCTTCAGCACTTGATCTAGCAACTACACTTTGCTTCTTACTTCTCCAGGAAATCAAGTTATCTCCAACGAATACACAATACCCAGAAGTGGATCTTCTATCAATAGGAGAACCTGCCCAATCAGCATCTGAGTATCCTACAACTCTGGTATGACCTTTGTTTTCATAGAGAAGACCTTTGCCAGGAGCAGTCTTGATGTACTTGAGGATACGGATTACTGCATTCCAGTGATCTTCACAGGGAGAATTCAAGAACTGACTTACTACACTGACTGCAAAGGAAATGTCTGGTCGAGTAACTGTGAGATAGTTCAGTTTCCCAACCAATCTTCTATACCTTTCTGGATCAGAAAATAGCTCCCCCTGATTTGGTAAAAGCTTGACATTTGGATCCATAGGAGTATCAACGGGCTTAGCATTTAACAATGTTGTTTCCTCAAGAATATCCATAGCATATTTTCTCTGTGATAGTACAATGCCATCTTTGGATTGGGCCACTTCTATCCCTAAGAAATATCGGAGTCTTCCAAGGTCCTTTGTTTGAAAATGATGGCACAAATGTTGTTTTATCTGAGTTATACCATGAGTATCATTACCTGTAATGACGATATCATCAACATATACTACCAAATAAATAGAACCTGAATCAGAGTGTCTGTAAAAGACTGAGTGATCAGCCTCACTTCGAGTCATGCCAAACTGCTGTACAACAGTGCTAAACCTTCCAAACCAAGCCCGGGGAGACTGCTTTAGACCATACAAGGATCTTCGGAGACGACAAACTAGGTTAGACTCCCCCTGAGCAACAAACCCAGGAGGTTGCTCCATATAAACCTCTTCCCGCAGATCACCATGGAGGAAAGCATTCTTTATGTCCAGCTGATACATAGGCCAGTGATGAATAGCTGCCATAGTAATAAAGAGGCGAACAAAAGTCATTTTCGCCACGAGAGAAAATGTGTCACCATAGTCAATGCCAAATATCTGAGTATAACCTTTAGCCACCAAGCGGGCCTTAAGACGGTCCACCTGACCATCCAGACCAACTTTAACCGTGTATATCCATCGACAGCCAACAACAGACTTCCCAGAGGGAAGGGGAACCAGATCCCAGGTACCACTACTCTGAAGTGCACTCATCTCATCAATCATGGCCTGTCGCCAACCAGAATGTGATAACGCCTCACCTGTAGTCTTAGAAACAGATACAGAAGAAAGAGAAGAGAGGCAAGCAAAATGGGATGGTGAAAGACGATGATAACTCAAATTTATTAAATACCTGGGAGGGGGACGAGAATCACGAGTACCTTTCTGGAGTGCAATGGGCACATCAATGTCGGACGGAAGGATCGGAGCTGCCGGAGGAGATGATGACGGAAGTGAGTCCACAGGAGCCTCATTAACAATAGGGGCAGACTCGGGGGGGTAGGGTCCTGGGGAACAGGGGGACGTTGCCGACGATGATAGACCTGGAGGGGGGGAACAGGGACGGGAACATCTAAAGAAGGAGATGGTGAAGGTATATAGTGAACTGAAACAGGTGGTAAAGGTAGCTGAGTAGCAACAGAATCACTGGGATGGGAGGAGGAGTCAAAGAATGGAATAGACTCAAAGAATGTAACATCCGCCGAGACAAAGTAACGACGAAGACTAGGAGAATAACAACGATAACCCTTTTGTGAGCGAGGGTAACCCAGGAAAATACATTTATGTGACTTAGCAGATAACTTGTCAAGACCAGGACTGAGATTGTGGACAAAACAAGTAGAACCAAAGATGTGAGGAGTGAGTGGGTACAAAGGTTGATGGGGAAACAACACAGAATGTGGTACCTGATTATGAAGTACGGAGGAAGGCATCCGATTAATGAGGTAACAAGCTGTGAGGACAGCATCGCCCCAATACTGGAATGGGATATGACCATCTAACAAACGTGTCCGAGTAGTCTCAATTAGGTGACGGTTCTTGCGTTCAGCAACCCCATTCTGTTGAGGGGTGTGTGAACATGATGTCTGGTGAAGGATGCCGTGAGATGCAAAGAAAGTTTGAAACTGATGAGACAAATATTCACGAGCATTGTCACTTCGAAAAATGCGAATCGAAACACCAAATTGAGTAAGGATTTCATTAAAGAACTTGTTAAAAATAGAAAACAATTCAGACCGATTTTTCATTAAAAATAACCAAGTACATCGAGAATAATCATCAATGAAAGTTACAAAGTATCTGTACCCCATAGTGGAAACGGTACGACTAGGACCCCAAATATCTGAATGAACTAAAGCAAAAGGAGACGAAGACCGACGACTGACACGATCGGGAAACGAACTACGAGTGTGCTTCCCTAACTAACACGACTCACAAGACAAACTAGATAAATTTGAGAAACGTGGGACCATCTTCTGGAGCTTAGCAAGATTGGGATGACCCAACTGAGCGTGGATAGTAAGCAGAGAATCTACAAGAGAGCACACTGGAACAAAAGTTGAAAGCTGATAAAGGCCATTGGACTCAGATCCGACGCCAAGTGTCCTCCTCGAGCTCCGATCCTGCAAAATGACAGACTCTTTAGTGAAAGAAATAGTACAGTCAAGGGATTGAGTCAAGCGACTAATGGAAATAAGGTTGAAAGGAGAATGAGGCACATAAAG